CCTTTAGCTTAGCGGTGGTGAACGTGAAGTCATGTGACCGTGCTGTAGTTCCTTTATAGCCAACATTAGCCCCTTTAGCTTAGCGGTGGTGATGAAGTCATGTGACCGTGCTGTAGTTCCTTTATAGCCCAACATTAGCCACCTTTAGCTTAGCGGTGGTGACGTGAAGTCATGTGACCGTGCTGTAGTTCCTTTATAGCCCAACATTAGCCACCTTTAGCTTAGCGGTGGTGACGTGAAGTCATGTGACCGTGCTGTAGTTCCTTTATAGCCCAACATTAGCCACCTTTCTTAGCGGTGGTGACGTGAGTCATGTGACCGTGCTGTAGTTCCTTTATAGCCCAACGTTAGCAGCATTTAGCTTAGCAGTGGTGACATGAAGTCATGTGACCGTGCTGTAGTTCCTTTATAGCCCAACATTAGCCACCTTTAGCTTAGTGGTGACGTGAAGTCATGTGACCGTGCTGTAGTTCCTTTATAGCCCAACATTAGCCACCTTTAGCTTAGTAGGGATGAAGTCATGTGACCGTGCTGTAGTTCCTTTAGCCCAACATTAGCCACCTTTAGCTTAGCTGTGGTGACATGAAGTCATGTGACCGTGCTGTAGTTCCTTTATAGCCCAACATTATCTTTTTACTTCAGAAATCATAAAGTGCTGTTAATATGTGGAGATTATCCGTGTTGAACCGAACATGTTAGTATCATAAACCTTTGTTTGACACAGAGATTATTTTCTGCAAAATCAAACGGAGAAATCCCATTGGACCGGGGAGATGCTGCCTTCAGGGACCACTCTATAATTGCCAGCTTTATTTAAGGCTGAAATACATTTGCAGCAGGAGTTTTTTTGCCTAGTTTTTGGCACTTCGTCTTCGTGTGACCGGACACCTGATGGGTCACTGCCTCTTTACATCATCACCTCTATTTAAAGCAGCTTGGCAGGGATGCTCCCAGGTTTCAACTTCCTGCCAAAAAAAGCAGAGACAGTGGCTTGATGAATGTCTAGTTCATAACCGTGATGTGACTGAGGTACAGGTAGGGGGGGGGTAACGATGTAATCATCGTATAATGGATGGAGGACATCATTCAGAGCTGGATTAGTGCAGGTGTTTCCACCCCAACAATACTCAGCTGATGGATCTCATGTCAGCGCTGAAAGTGATGCTTTAATCTGCACAACCATTCCTCTCCTGCAGCAAAAAAGCTCATTCTGCTCATAAACTCCAGTCAGGATTTTTTTAGGTTGTTTTTACGCCTGCAGGTCATGCTAATTATCGTTATGGAGTCATCTGGATTGTATTTTCTAATTGAATTGACTAACTGTGTGTGTGGAATGCCAAGCAGTATTAGAGAATAACTTTTGTCTGTAGTTGAAAAACCCAAAGATATTCGGTAAACAAAAGCAAAATATCCAGGTATTGGACGTCAGATTGTATAGAAGTCTATGAGAAAATGTCATTACTTCTCTCTTGAATTATACCTCGAATTATATAGAAGTTTATGAGAAAAGACGACCCTTATGAGTCTCTCAGTCATTTTGAGTCTCCTTGAAGTCATTTAGTGTCTCTTTGTTGTGGTTTTAGTCATTTGAGTCTTTTTGTGGTCATTTTTTGTCTCATTGTATATTTTGTATCTCTTGGAAGTCAGTTTGAGTCTCTAAGTAGTCATTTTGAGTGTTTTGACGTCATTTTCAGTCTCTGAGTGACATAGTGCAGGGGGCCCCTGTCACTTTGGGCCCTGTGCATGTTATACAGTAGGCCCCTTAGTAATCATTATAGACTGTGTGACATCTCTACTTTAACAGTCTGTAGAAGTCACTTTGGGACAAGTAGTAAAGTGTGTAGATGCTTTTAGTGACGGGAGATGAAGGGGATTTTGCAGAGTGAGCTCCCTGGTTACAGTTACATGATGTGTGTGTTCCTGTGAGAACAGGATACGTGTGTGAAGGTTGTGAATATTTAGACGCAGCTACAATCTGCATACGTCTTTTAGGAGTGTTAATATGTCAGTGTTGCAAAATTTGATTCTAGGGTTATTATGGATGAAGTACATATAGGAGCTAATTTTAGAATGAGTCTGCTGTGCACTCGTGAAGGTGGTAAATGATGGCAGGGAAGCAGAGTAAAGTCTGTATAAAATAAAGGAGTTTTTATATTTTAAAAACGTATTTTCACTGATTGCAATAATTTAATCCAGAAGGGCAAAGCTAAAACGAAAAGCCGATTCTCAATTCTCAGTGACTCAGCTAAAACATAACAAGTTGAATCAATAGTGGAATTAAACGATCTTTTAGGTACGATGGTGCCTGAACATTTAGCGCTTTGTAAGTAAGAAGAAGTATTTTAACATAAATTCTGTGCTTCACGGGGGGCCAGTGTAGAGCTGCTAACATTGGAGTGATGTGGTCCTTATTTCTTGTTGTTGTTAGTAGACGCCGGGCTGCAGCATTTTGTACCAGTTGAATATTTTTGATGGATGTGGTGGGACAGCCGAATACAATCCGTCCTAGTAATAAAATTAACAAGTAAAACTAGTCATTTTTCAACAAACTAAACAATATTTCTTCACACGACTTTGAGTTGGTGTGCCGCGATTCACACATGGGTCTATTTTTCCTCGTCCACTAACGCCTATATGTGCTTGTAAGCGAGTCCAGGCGCTGAAGAGGTAAACTCAGCATATTCCTGAAATATATAGAGTTACACAGCGTCTAAATGTGGACGAGTTCTCAGTGGAGGATTCATCACACCACCGGAGGAAACACGATACACTGTGAACACGCAACGAGGAGCTGATCGGTGCTAAGTGTCCAACATTTCTGTGACTTGCAGATCTCTATATTCCTCTGAAGGGGGATTTAAAGTGATCTATGTCCCTGTGGGGGTCAGGCTGGGGGTCCTGAGGTCTCGGAGGAACGATGACAGTGAACGCCAGAATGTGTTTCTGCACTGGCGATGTGTGTGTGTGTGTGTGTGTGTGTGTGTCGGTGGAAATTGTGTTTGACGTGGATCATCTCTGAGCTGATTTCACCGGGAGCTCATCGCTCTGCTGCTGACACAACTGATCAGGGTTAATACGATCATATTATTATGGTAGCATTGTTTAATTTATTATTAAGTAATACGTTATTATTATTACTTTTGTAATAAGTACAGGCAATAGATACACAGGACAGCAAGATGTCAATACGAGCTCACAGAAAAAACAAGTCAATACAATTAAATGAATAATAATACAGTACAGCAAGAGTAGGTAGCAATACTTAAAGTTCATTTATTGATAAATATTTATATTTTATTTTATTTATTTTACATAAAAAACATGTGCAGCATAAATAAATACAGTTTTTTTTATACAAATATTTTCAGTTTTTTCTAAAGGATTCTGTATTTCGTATAATTGTATTTTATACTCTATATATAGGTTTGATAAATACATATTGAACACTATTTCTATTTTTTTATATATTTTTAACTAATCAGCAATGCCTTGTGAACATGCTGCTGTAACCAAACAGTTTTCCAATATGGGATCCATAAAGTGATAATCTTTTTAGAGACTTTTCCTTTTGCATGTTCCGATTAGAGCTGCACAAGTAATCTAAATTGCAATATCAACTCTAATATCCAGATGGCAGGAAGCACAAAATGTGTTAATGTTAATTCTTGCTAATCATGCAGCCCCTATTTTCTTTCCTCTACATTATTTTTAAAGGTGGCAGACAAAGCCACAGCAAATCTGACTCCACGTCACCAGAGTTATTTAGAGGTTTTTATATATTTAGACATTATTTTCAGCACAGTGGAGCTGCAGGATGTCAGCAGTTGTTGCGAGGGAGTCTGTGAAAGTGTGTGTGTTTAAATATAGGCAGTGTGTGTGTGTGAGGCGGAGAGCAGCGTCTGTATTTTGGGGAATTGCACACACTGGTGTTTCAATGAATCATCCATCACCTGCACCTACTACTAGCTCAGCTCCTCCAGTCAGCACACACACATGCACACACACACACACTCGTGGTCCCCGGGCTTCTCCTGATGGGACTCGATGTGATGGCGGCCGCTGAAAGAGGCGGCGGAGGCAGGAACATGAGCTGATAACTGATGGAGGTGATGAGGAGCTGGGATTTAACCTGTTAAGCCCCATGCCCCCAAAAAAATAAAATGTTCACAAAACTGTTTCTCAGGGCTTCTTAACATTTAACAACCTATTAATGTGTCATACCCACTTAACGAGAAGAAACTCAGCTAACTGATGATATGAATAATTTGTACCGAAACAAAACACAACTCTAACGCCGAGCCTCTGAATTAGCCCTGAGCGAAAAAATGCTAACGCACTTAGCACAGAACTCACAGTAGAAATACTTTATTACTTATCGGATCTGCACAAACAAGATATTAGATTAAAGTTGAGATTCCACAGATTCTAGAGGTATAAGTATCATCACTGTGCGACCAAAACTTGCGGCAGCTTAGTTCTTTTGGGGTTTCCTTCTCCTGTAGTGTGTTATATAGGTTTGTGTGCATGTAAAGGGGCGGGACATCTCTAAGAGTTTGACCAAGCACAACAGAGCTGGCCAGCTAACCAATCAGAGCAGACTGGGCTGCAAATACAAAATGCTGCAAGAAGCTAAAAAACCCC